TTTAAATAAATGCCAATATATAGTCAGTTTGTAATATTTGCCAACAAGATTGATACAAACAATTTTCTTTTTTAACACAAATACGTTTTAATATATAAATAATAATACAATTTACATTAACAATTATTACAAATAGTTATTTCAAACAATGATTCATAAACAAAAGTTTCACAAACTTACAAACAATATAAAGTTTTCTTTCTAGTCTGGAACTTCCTTGATATCTTATCGAGGGTTTACGATGAGCAAGTTGATGTAAGTACGATTTGCTGGGAAGCTAGCTAGCTTTGTCTTCTTGGCCTCACGCACTGTTTTTCACCATTGAAGTTAGGTAATGTTTTTTGTAAAAAATACTAATGTCCAATGAGAATCCACTGAAGTTAAACGATTTGTAACATTCCAAATTTATAAATATTCCTGGTCAAATATCTTAAGTTTTCCGATTGATAAGCGTTATAAAAATCACAGTTATAGCATTCGAAATTTTAGAGCGAACTAATAATAGAAATTCCTATGGCTTGTCGCGTTGGTTATATCTATAGCCGTGTGAACGTTTTCTAGAAAATTCAGTCTTATGTAACAATACTGGTTAAAGCGTTTACATATATAGATATTTTGTTGATTCCTACTCTAGAGAATCTTCTACAACTTTGGAGAATAGGCGGGAGTTTCGCAATACGTATCTAACTGTATAAGCTATGTATGTTTCTAAATATAAACTTAATCTAAACAACATTCATATTAAAATAAATACATAAATATAAATTCATTACACAGGTATACATACACAAAAATCTGTTACATATATAATGTTTCAGATATATCTTTATGAAAATCTTTTACACATGTAATGTTTCAAGTATTCCTACCTGAAAATCTGTTACATATATAGAATGTTTCAAGTATACCTACAAGAAAAACTGTTACCCATGTAATGTTTCAAGTATACCTACATGAAAATCTGTTACCCATGTAATGTTTCAAGTATACCTACATGAAAATCTGTTACATATGTAATGTTTCAGGTATACTTACGTGAAAATCTGTTACATATGTAATGTTTCAGGTATACTTACGTGAAAATCTGTTACATATGTAATGTTTCAGGTATACATACGTGAAAATCTGTTGCATATGTAATGTTTCAAGTATACCTACGTGAAAATCTGTTACATATGTAATGTTTCAAGTATACCTACGTGAAAATCTGTTACATATGTAATGTTTCAAGTATACCTACGTGAAAATCTGTTA